TTTCAGGAAACTCTTTCCTTTTACGGGCCACTTGACATTCCAGATCTTAAGATCAATCTCCAAGTGCCTGACCTGGTTTCCAGGTCATGGTCATCTTCTCCATCCCAACTCCAGCCATCATGCACAAGTATTAGTGGCCATGCTGACAATCCACAATACCTTGGAATGAATCACAGTTCTCAGACTCCTCCTTTCTATGGCTATATTTAGTGTCACTGCTCAGAACTGCTTCACCTCTAAAATCCTGGTCTTAACCCTGAACTTCCTAGTCTATCCATTATACACATATGTCATACTCATTTTATCTTCAATCTCTACCCCTTCCCATTCACCCAATTTTTCAGTGCCTTACTGACCTGACTTCTCTTACAACCCAGCCCAAATCCCAGGGCCAATGTGCAGCAATCTCGAATGACCTTGCCCTTTAGACAGTCCTACCTTACAAAGCCCAACCCTGGCACAACCCACTTTTTCCTATTCTACATTGTCGCTGCTGAAGAAAAATCAAAACTTGGCCCCCAGCCACTGCAATTAATGGTTTCCTATCTCACATGGGTTTTCAAAGGCATTCCTCATTCTTTTTCCTTGGCTTTGGTCAGTTTCTTCACTCCATCTTCCTGGCAATTAATACTAACAAAAATGTGAGACATGATCTCTGGTAAACAGTTTACCAAAACAATCTTGAGGGTGTTGGATAAATGCATGAGAAGAAAACAAAAGGCTAACCATGGTAAATGTAATTTAGCTCTACGGCTATATGTCCTTAGGTTCTAAGTCAATTACTTTCATGGCATTAAGAATACTACTGCTATCTGGTCTTAATTCTTACAGATTTTCAGAGGTTGAAAAACGAGGTGAAGGGTAGACCACTGGTAAAAATGGCTGCTTTCAAATCCCCCACGTTCAAGGTCCCCTTCATACTTACTACACTTGATCAATGAAACATACACAATTTCTGTTTTCATTTTATTTTATGCAGTTAAAAGTGAAAGTTAAAACATCATACAAACCACAGAAGCTTTATATTACTGACCAGTTTTAAAAAAAAAAAACAGTGAATGATCATTTACATACATTCTTCATCTCTAATTTTACGTCTCGTTATACAAAGGTACTAGTAACATACACAGTTCTAATTCCTTAAAAACCTATTTGCCAAGCAGCAAGATGACAATGCAGCATAGCACAGCACAGAAGGTTTCCTTTAAGAAACCATAGCAGCAGTATTTGGTAAATGGTTATGCATAGAACTGACTTAGAGGGTAACATTAAACACTGGTCATAAAACAGGCAGCACACGTACATTAACAAATAGAAAATGTAACTTTTACTAATATAAGCTAAAATGTTACTCTTTACGCTTTAATTTAAAAACTACAGGATACTTTAAAAGAAGACAATACAAGGTGCCTTCATTCTAGACTCCATAACAAGATACTATTCCATTAATTGCTTGGGAGTCTATAACCTTTGACACTGCTCATTGGCTTCTTAAAGTCAACTTAAAATATAAAAGCACTTGAAGTTTACCATCAAAAGCTAAAGTTACATTGGTTGCATGTTACATTAAAACACACCTTTTAAGAAAAACTAACATTAAAAAATACCACATTGTTGACTTAATTTCAAAAATTGTTGCTCTTAAAAGTAAAAATGCACTACTTTCAAATCTTTCAACACATTTTGGTTTAAAATGCCATATTTTGTGAAAACGTTACTTGAAGTATTCCCAACTTTCAGCAAAATAACAGTTTGAAGTTGTTTTTAAACCTAATAACATCTAAAGAAATGGGTCAGCACATGTGTGAATTGGCTCTCCACCAAATAACAAAATACTTGTTTCCTCCACGAAAACAATACTACAAAATCCATCGGATGAATTCTATTTTTAGTTTGATGTAAATATTAAAAACCTCATTTAACAGTGCCACACAAATATTTAGTGTTTTTTGGCATTTAAAATCAGAGCAATGCTACCAATACATTTGATACAGGCAACTTTCACAGACATTTCAGAGGCAAAAAAGAAAGATTTGGAAATGGTTGGTTGGGAAGGAAATGAAACAACCTGCCAGTGTCCTCAATTTTAAAATTAATCCTCAAAAGATGGCATACTTGATCACCATCATTGTTTGTCAGTAGTCAGACAAAACTAATACTTGTACGTGTTTTTAATGCTCAGAACCTTCTAAACTTCTAAACCAAATTAACCACAGCCTAGTCTGTCTCCTACTGCGAAACTGAAAACGCACTTATGATGAAGTTCTGGTAAGCTCAGCTACAAAAGCTCTACAACAGGAAAAGAACAGAAACACCATACCACACAAATAACTCTGTGTTAACAACTATTTCTTCTGTCTTTCATAGTGGCCTTAGAAATAGGTACTATGTGGGGGAAGAGAGGTGTAGGGGGGAAAAAGATGTTAAACAAAGGAAATTAGTTTGTAGAATTTTCATATTGGCATCAGTGATTTCTTTTGACTCTCCTAAGAGTTAAAACACGGCAGGATGTGAGCTATTAATATGCTTTTGGGTATATTTCCCAAGTAAGTTAAGCAGAACATTTCTTAAGATTCTATTAAGACACACATCTTTGAAGCATAAATATTAATAAATAATACCAACACGTACACCTTTACATGAATTTGTAGATGACCCTTGTAGATTTGGGGAGGTCATGTCAGCCACCACTCTTTAATACTGACACAATATGGAAGTTCATCAGCTACTTAAAAGTTCGTCAGCAACTATTATTATCTAAACCTAAGATTATCCACTATAAAGCAGAATCCACAGCTCAAAATGTTAGACTATGAAAAATCTAATTTAAATATCCTCCCAGTACCGAGCTTTTTAGTCATTTTTTTCCTAACTGATGATCATTTTAACACATTTAGCTAGTATGAAGCCCTAAAATTAATGCTCAAAACTTGTGTCACTGTTTTGTTAATACCTAAGTCACATAAAAATAGAAAATTGCATCCAATAAGGAAATGAAGACAGAAAGATTATGCCCCATTCTCAGCTGCTGGGGATTTTCCCCAGCAAGCACTTAAAGTTATTTTCTGTAAATTCCCTTTTAGTATACCCAAAGGGCTACAGTGACAGCAGAGGTGTTCATCAGGAATAAAACTTGAGGCAGAACAAGTGAACTGTTAACAAACAAAACTATCGGCATACAGTATGAGGTATCAAACATAAAATTACATACCATCATAGAATAGAGGTGATATTCTGTGATGAATAGTTTTTATGAGAACAGGTTAAAAACACAAAAAGAACTTAGATTAATAGGACAAGTTGGCTTTGCAATTCATTCTAGTACAAAGGAGGTAACACTAAACAGGAAGGTTCTTTGATCCGTATCTCTCTCCCCAGTAAACACACAGTCCAAAGTTCAGTGAAGACAAACATGGGAACCTGGTAAGAGTCATTTCACAGGGAAGCAGGCATTTTCACCCGCTCTCTATTTTTCCCTCTATACCCTGTACCTCTGAGGTCTTGTCACTGAATTGCTGCTTGTGAAGAAATATTTTCTCCACAACACAGGCCTTGAGCATGAAGTCCTCCCATAGAAAGGGAGTAACTAATCCTACTCTCCCTAAAGTAGAAGACAGTTCTTAGGTTTCTAAGTTACTACTCTAATATCTTGAGTGAGTTGCCAAAAAAATGTATCTCATAGAAGATAACTATTTTAGCAATATTGTTAAGAGGCAGGATTAAGTTCTCCAATAAATAATTATCATCCTAGAAAGAAAAATAAATTTACAAACTATTTTTTATCTAAGATACCATCAATTGTAGGATGCACCTTATGTATCACTAAGAAAAAACACAGGCAATTAAACTACGACACAATGCTTTCGTATCATGTAGAATGTTTATATTTATTGAAACAGAGCTTTTAGAGTTAAACAGATTTTACCACGTCAATCCTGTGCATACGTAAAGAGAATATATGAAATACACTGGTTAAGTTATAACTATAACCTCATATTCTGAGTCCAACTCTTCGGAATCACTTCTCAGATCACAGTCGTCGACGTCTGCACGCTTCCACACAACAGCACCCTTGGTGTCACCAAGAGCGCTGATGACACAGCATTTCTCAAAAGAGTGCTCCACCACTGTCTTCTGTTTAAGGTCAGCAGGAAGCTTTGGACAAAACAATGTTTGACGCCTTAACGACAGTCCTGCTCGACGCATGAATCGATCACACCAGCCTCGTGTTGCTCTGAATTTTGTTTCATCTATTCCAAGGGTTTTGGCAATTTCTCCCGCCTTCAACTGCATCGCCTGGCGTGTGACACGCAGTCCTTTTGCACGTGTCTCACTGACAAAGTATAGTACAGCTTCGTCTACCTGTGGGTATCTTCCTTTCTTAGGTTCCGTAAAGCATTTTGTTGTTGCTTTACAAGAAAATATGGAATTTCGGTCATTCCTCCAGTGATGGACATTTGCTTCACTGATATCAAATGTACGCCCCGCTGCTCTGTTTCCATGTGTTTCTGCATATACAATAACTTTTCGTTTCAATGCTGAATCATAGTGTAATCTTTTTGAAGACATCTTAAATGCCAATTAAACCTGACATGTCTGATACCCACAATACAGTGATGACGCTATGATAAGCTATAAGTTCACACATGCAGGCTGGATAATTACATCATGACTATTGCCTAGTTGACAGTAATCGTGAGATGCATTCCAATTTTAGACAAGGTAAAATGTGAAAACAAAAACCACAAAAAAACAAAAAACGTACATTATAGAATTAATATGGTTTTTCAAGCCTGTAATGTTTACCAGATTCATACCAGTCCAAGAAAATAAGCCCAATAGCCAAGGATTAAGTACATAAGTAAATGCTAGTGAAGCGAAAGGTTATCTTTAAGATGAAATTTGCAACGGTCCAATTTGGTTTTAATTCCCTTTACTTTCATATGGCTTATATGTAAATCTTTTTTTGAATTGGACTTAAAACCAAGTACAAATGTTCTTCAATCTTTTAAGCAAATTGCAAAGCCGAGTCACTAAAGACAGAGGCTCCCAACTGCCTTTCATCATTCACTAACACAGGACTATGGCCGGGGTCAGCGGCCTTCATCAGCAGGTGCCCTTCTTTGGCGAGCGGATCTGATCCTCTGCGGAGACGATGAAGTGTCCTCTTCTGTTTCAGACCCTGAAGGCTCATGATCTCCCTCCTGGGATCCTGTGTCTCCCACCAGTTCCCGCAGAAACTTAAATTTCGATAAAAAGAGATGCCATACAAAATACCAACCTAAAGAAAGAGAAAAACATTAAAGAAAAATTATTACACACAATGTTATCAATTGACAACATTCCAGTTAATTGTGGGGAGGTATATTACAAAATAATATGTATAACATAAATAAATATATAAATATATATGTATATTACAAACACTTAAGCATTTACTAAGGACAAGGCATAAGGATAAACTCTGGGAGTATACAGGGACAGCAAAAACAGTTTCTGCCTTTACGAAATTTAAAATCCAAGCTTGGTCCATCTACATCAAAATTATAATGAGATTATGATACCTAAGTGAAAGTGTTTATTATATTAAAATTAAATTTTTGAGAGAATTTTTCTGGGAAGAAAGAATACACTATGCTAATATTTACTAAAAGCCAAGTTTTCTTCAATCAGAATGCAAAAGACATTAAATAGGAAGAATCAACCACACTACCATGAAAACCTCTCAGTCAGGACCAAGCTATTCATAAGTTTCTAGAAATAAATTTTCACAGAAAATTAATAAATTTTCTTCAATTACATGATGAAAGAATAAAGCCAGAGCACCAGCATCTTAAGTTCAAGATTTTAAAAAATACAGTATTCTCTTGTCCAAGTCATTAAGAAGTTTGAATAAACTCTCCTTAAAAAAAAATTACTAACCAAATTTTGCTTATTTTTGCAAGGAGTTTTAAGTGTACTAAGTTTTCGGTGCCCACTAATAAGGAACAAAAAATCAATCAAGGAGCACACAGGACAAACCTCTGGGCCCACAAGTGGTTGCTCTGAAATCTTAAGAGCATAAAATAAACCAAATCAACCACTGTAACCAAGTTTTTCATGCTAGCATGTTTCCTTGATGCCTTCTACTTTAAACTCTCTAGTTTCATTGAAAAGCAATGGATCACAGCATATTCTGATGAGTAGCATCTAACACCAGGCCAAGATGAATGGCCACTTTAAGGAAGTTCCTAATTTTACTTGTTTCTTTCTTACAATCTCTGGGAAAAAAAGATCAACATAAACTCCTTTGTACTAAAGGACTAACTTCAGAGATTTAACCCATTTCTCAAGTTTTTGCTTTAAGCTTGAGTGCTGAGTACTAACTGAACCATACCACAAATATATTTTGGTTAACCATGTGTTTGAGTAAAGCACTTAACTTTCTAAAATAGTATTTTAATCAATGTTCCAAATTAGCAAGCTCTCTTTTCACCCAAAATTCTTTGTAAAAATAGGCAGAGCATATTAGTGGAAAGAACACTGGCGAAGGAGTCAGGAGTCTCAGTGCTGATGGAAGATTCATCAAGCTATTGGGAGGGAAAAATGAGAAGGTATCTAAAGGGCTTAGGTGCCTGGCACTGAGTTCCCATTTTGTAAAACGCTCAATTGACATGAGCTGTGGTTGTCCCTGTGCAGCGGAATCTGAGGTGGCCTCTATTTTCCTGTTTAATTATCTTTTTTTTAATTGAGTTACAATTCACATATCATAAAATCCTCCCTTGTAAAGTATACAATTCAGTGGTTTTTAGTATATTCACAAGGCTGTGCAACCATCACCATTAACGAACTCCAGAACATTTTCATCAACCCCAAAAGGAACCACATACCCATCAGGAGTCATTCCCCATTTCTTCCTTCCCCTAGCCCCTGGCAACCAATAATCTACTTTTCTGTCTCTACGGATTTGTCTATTCTGAACATTTCATATAAATGGAAACACAATATGTAGTCTTTTGTCTGGCTTCTTTAGCATATGTTTTCAAGGTTCATCATCCATGTTGTTGCATGTATTACTTCGTTCCTTTTTGTTGTTGAATAGTGATATTCCATTGTATGGATACATCACATTTTGTTTAACCATTCACCAATTAATGGACATTTGGGTAGTTTCCACTTTTTTTGGCTATTATCAAAAACAAGGTTTCCCTATTTTGTTTTTTTGTTTTTTTATAATTTTATTTATTTTTCCCCCAAAGCCCCAGTAGATAGTTGTATGTCATAGTTGCACATCCTTCTAGTTGCTGTATTTGGGACGTGGTGTCAGCATGGCCGGAGAACTGGCGCGTCAGTGCACTCCTGGGATCCGAACCCGGGCCGCCAGCAGCGGAGTGCGCACACTTAACCACTAAGCCACGGGGCCGGCCCAAGGTTTCCATATTTTGGCTGCAATGACCATTGTGTACAAGTTTTTGCATGGGCATGTTTTCATTTCTTTTGGGTATATATCTAGGAGTAGAAATGCTGAATCATATTGGTAACTTTACGCTTTGCCATTTGTGAAATTGCTAAACTGTTTTCCAAAGCAGCTGCACCAATTTACATTCCCACCAGCTACGTACGAGGTTCCAGTTTCTCTACAACCTCACCAGGACTTTCTACTCTTCACCTTTTTCATTATACTCATCCTAACAGGTGTGAAGTGGCATATCATTGTGGCTTTTATTTGCATTTCCCTAATGGCTAAAGATGTTGAAAGTCTTTTCATGTGTTTATTGGCCATTTGTATATCTTCTCTGGAGAAATGTGTATTCAAGTCCTTTGCTCATTTTTTAATCAAGTTGTTTGTTTTTTTATTGAGTTGTACAAGTTCTTTACATATTCTTGATTCTAGGCCCTTTTCAGATATATAATTTGCAAATATTTTCTCCCATTCTGTGAGTTGTCTTTTCACTGGTCTGATAATGTTTTTTTAAGTACAAAAGTTTTTTATTATGATGAAGCCTAATTTATCATTTTTTCTTTGTGAAATCCAATTTATCTATTTTTTTTCTTTGATTGCTTGTGCTTTTGGTGTCATATCTAAGGAACTACTGATTAACCCAAGGTCATCAAGATTTATACCTATGTATTCCTCTAAGAGTTTTAGTTTTAGTTTTTACATTTAGGTCTTTGATCCATTTTAGTTAATTCTGCTGTGAGAGTGAGGTCCAAATTCATTCTTTTGCATGTGGATATCAAGTTGTTCTAGAAGCACTTGGTGGAAAGACTGTTCTTCCCTTCATTTAATTGTCTTGGCACCTTTGTCAAAAATCAAACAACCATAAATCTTACAGGTTATTTCTGGACTCTCAATTCTATTCCATTGATCTGTATGTCTATCCTTATGCCAGTACCACACCACCTTGATTACAGTAGCTTTGTATTAAGTTTTGAAATCAAGAGTATAAGTCCACCAACTTTGTTTTCTTCAAGATTGTTTTGGCTATTCTGAGTCCCTTGCATTTCCATGTGAATTTTAGAATTATCTTGTCAATTTCTGCAAAAAAGGCAGAGAGAAGTTTAATAGGGATTGCACTGAATCTGTAGATCAATGTTGGGACCTACACTGTTTTTTCAATAGTGCTCTGTACTTACCCAATTTTTCCACGACGGACACACATGATTTAGAAAATCAGGAGAAAAGTCAGAAACTGATAAGTAAATCATGAATACTCTATAGATTTATATGTTTTAAATACCCCAATGCTATTAATTGGCCCAAACTAATAAGGCCAGTTGATTTCAACAGATACTAAGGAAAACCCCTAACTCTTACGTTAGTTTCGAGAACCCAACCTAAAAGTTAAGAGAACTCATTTGCCCAAGGTACTGCACTAAACAGAGATTATGGCAGTGAATTTACCACCAGGGAAATTATAATCAAACTCAAAGAGAGTAGTCTTGACCTCATAAAAACCAAAGATTCCAACAGTAGCTACAAGGTACAAAATCATAAAGAAAAGTAAGGAAGGTTACTGGAAGTCTTTTTACTGAAAAGAGACTATGGTGAAGGGCTGTCACCACTGAGGTTCCCACCACAAAATACTACAGTGCCCTTGGGATGGTTAAGAGAAAGCGAAGTCTCCCAGCACAGAAATCTACAAAATACAGAACTGAGGATAGCTGCAGCAGTCATAAGAGCATTCAGCTAGATCACAAACTCTCTTTCCCAATTTTAATAAAACAAACCAAAAAAAATTTTTTCTAAATCACTGCCAGCAACCAAACAATGTAAGGGATTCAACGTCAAGTCAAAACTCAGAATGTGTTGGCCAATGAGAGATACTCTCGAGTTTGGAGCAGCAAAATACAGCCACTACCTCCAAACTCATCACTCCCCTCTCTACCCACACCAGCTAAACCACTCGACTTCAGACCTCTTTAATTTTTACCCTAAATCTAGAGTAAGCAAACTTGAAAAGTACGCTAATTTTTCCCTATTCTGCCTGAGTGTAAGGTGTGTGAGGATTGGGGTTAGAAGGGGAGAATGTGGATAGTGACACTGCTTCCCACAAAAAATCAAGAAGTAGAGAATTCCCCTAATGCAGACATGGAGTTCATATGCTGGGCAGCCAAAAAGAAAAACACCCACTGTGCTTGGTTTTTTACAATGACTACTGTAATGACAGGGTGGGAATGTAAAGCTAAGAGATAAATTGTAGTGTTGATAAGAATTGCAGGGGTATCCACTCAATTGAGGGAAGTTCAACAAGTTGCTCTCCAAGTAAAATGACTAAGTTCTTACACAGCTGTAATTTTGGGGAGAGAGATGGGAGGAGGAGGGGAAGGAGGGGGATTTCCAGATGATAATACCTAGGATTGGTAAGATCTCATGCTTCTATAATAGATCTTTTATCAACGAGTGTTAACAGTCTAAACAAAGGATGATACTAAAACTTCCAGGCAGTTTGATCAGAAAAACAACTATACACAACATATTTATTTTGGAAAAAGAACCATTATTAAAAGCCCAATGAGTATATACCAGGAACAGCATGACTTAGCAAAGAAGAAACTAATAAGAGAGGTACTATAGTACCAGATAAAACTGCCAATAAGATATTCACTGGCTATGTTAATTAGATAGCTAACTTTTTTTTTTTTTTTAACTTTGGGACAGGTACTGTGAAGAAATGCTTTGCACATATCATTTACTGGCCAGACTAAAGTGTCCCTTCACATACTTATGGTATGTCACACTCCCTGTAGCTGATTAATAGGTCCCTGACCTATTCATCCACAGCATTTTACTTGTACTGA